AGCCGGAGTTATTTATAAAGGTTATTTATTCTGGGGTTACTTAGCTTATAAGTAATTCCTGAATAAGTAACCCTTGACCGTCTGAGTAACCCTTGACCAACTGAATAACCCCTATAAAAAAAACCCCTGACCGACTAAATAACCTCTGACCGATTGAGTAACCCCTAAATAAATAACCCCTATAACTAACCCCGACCATATAGAAAAAGCATATAAAAAAAGCTTTTTTTATGTGGCCGGGATAGTCAGCCATATAGAAAAAGCATGGATCAAACAAAGCTTTAAAAGAAATAAACATCTAAAAACTAAATTATCCTCTTCAAATTTCCAACAATTAAAAAATAAAATACAAAATGAAAGGGAAAGCAGAGATTTTTATTTTTTAATGACCATAAAAAAATACTACAGAAAAAAAAAAACAAAGAAAAGAAAAAGAAGAAGGGTTACGTGTATGGCGGGAAGGGTGTGGTGGACTGGTGGGTGGGGTATTAGAAAAAAAAAAAGAAAAAAAAAAAACCGGATGTAAAGAGTGGGCAACACCCAGTTAGGTGGTCCCGTCACCCGTGGAACTCGCCCGATTCAACTATTACTAGATCCGTTTCCATCTCGTCACCACCATTTTTTTATTTTTATTTTAATGTTTCTGTGACATCATCTGTAGTCTGATTTTTTCTTTAACATATCATGCTCTTTAAGCTATATATGGTATACTGATTATCAAGGACTCTCTTCGTCTTAAATTCTTAATTATTTATCCAATTTTTGACATGTATATCGACTTATGTCTATGAATATGTCTACTCTACTCCATACTTCAAAAGTTAATTTGTATTACTCAAAAACTCTATATGTATTAAAAAAAAAAAAAAAAAACTTATTCTATAATACATAACTGCTTATTGCAAACAATAAAAAGTACTTTGTATTTCGTGTTATTGTTTGGCAAGAATCTAAATTAAATTTGAGAATTATTTCAATGTGTGAACCTAAAAGTTTTACATTTACCGTATTTACCATCGATCATAGCTTTGCTGAAGCCTGAAAATGTGTTTGTATTTGATTCAATTGTTATCTTTTATTAGATCGATATAAATTAAATCTCTTTCTATCACTTTTTATTTATGAATAAACTTATATATATATATATATGTGTGTATATATTTTATTATTCTATACTTTTAGCTACTCCACATCACCTTATATTATTTCATTAATGTACTTATTAATTTTACACATTTTTTTTTCAAAAAAAAAAAAGTAAGAATACATACCCTAAGAGGGATAGATGTAAGCATGCATAATAAAATGCTCGTACTACGGTGCTACCTTTCTCTCAAAAAAAAAAAAAAAAAAAAGGATGTAAGCATGCATGTAACTATGTAAAATCAGACTCATCCCACATCCTCCCCATTTGGGTGCAGTGGGGATAGATGATAGAAGAATTTTTTTTTTGAAATAGAGGATAGTATTAGTGCAAAGTATATAGATTGATGAAATGATTTAACAAGAAGGTAAGGTATATACTCTCCCCATGACCCCATCTCAATTTTTTGGTCATCAATTGTCACTTAATTGAAAATTAGGAGATAATAGGACTATAGGAGTGTAGGACATTATCTGCACTGGCGGAGCCAGGATTTTCAAATTGGGGGGACAAATTATGGATATAATATAAAAGCGAAGACAGTTGCATTATAATGTATTTAATCCTGATATACCAAAGCACCAACAAGAATAGAAGTATAAGCAATCACATGATAATGCACTAACAGGATTATAAGCAAAGGATATCACAAAATCTAAAGTGTTGCACATAATGACACTTAATCAACAAAAACATAATAAAAGCAGAACCAAATATACTTGCCTAATGGAAGTCCATTTAATATGGGCAGCTCCCAAAGATTGTGTTTGTACATAAAAATGGCTAAATGTTGCTCCTTCACCGATGATCACCTCAAGAACATAATTAGTCCAATAACACTTGTTACCATCTCCACCTAAAAACACCTCAACTATACCCACCTCTCCTCCCTTCTATCAACACCAATACTCTCGGGTTCGAAACCGGCAACATATTCGACTCGGCATCACTCCCTTTCAGTGAGAAAGACCTCAAATTTAAAGGGGCATCAACTCGGCACCCTTCAGGCACATAAATAAAGATCAAATCAGGAGCACCAACCCCATTTAAAGACCAAAACAAATCCCCTTCAATATTTGACACAAATTCCGATACCCTTTTCAGAATATATAGCCTCAGAAAATAAGTAAAGTATGGGGAGAAAGAAAGGGTTATTGGGTTAACAATTAAAATTGCAAATTGGGGATTTCAAATTTTCAATTAGAAGAACAAATTAATATATTTAAGAGTTAAGACATACCTTTAGATGCAGCGAAGACCAGAAGATGACCGAGGCGGCGACTGGCGACTGACGGACGACCGACGACGATGAGGGGTTTGGCAGGCAGCGACCGAGCGACAGACAGGACTTTGGTTTTTTAATTTTGGTGACTGTCGAACGGAATTGAAGGCTGTTCGCTGTGCGCTGTCGTCTGTCGAACCTCGTCATTGGCCTCACTGCTGCGAACTGCCGGAGAACGGTGGACAGCGTCAGGCGACTCTGGCGAGGTGAGGGCGAATCGAAGAGAGAGAAATTAAAAATTGAAAGACTTAGGGTTTGGCTGCAAATGTCGCACAGAGCACTCTGTAATTGCGTTTTTTTGTTTTTTTTTTTAAATTTTTTTTTTTAATTTTTTTTTTTGAAAATGGGGGGACAAGTGTCCCCACTCGTCCCCTTCTAGCTCCGCCCCTGATTATCTGAATCCGTGAACATTTAATAATCTAAAATATTTATAAAAAAGATTGTATGTGAAAATCATCCAAAAAATTACATTAGTGTTTGAAGATCTAATAAAGTTCATCATTTCAAATCAAAATAGCTGCACCACTTTGAAATACATTTGTACTATTCATATTAATTCTTAGAACATCTTTTTATTTATAATAAAAAATAATAATGATGTTATATGTAAAAAATTATCATCTTAGTTCCAATGTACCACTTTAATAATTTCTATTTATCGAGAATTAATTAAAGATTTCAATTCAATAGTCAAAGTTATATGTTGGTAGCAAATTAAATGGTCAAGTAGTGCTGTAATTGCAATTCTATCTCCTATTAATAACTTAATACTAAAATAGACATCGGGAGTGACATGTGTCACATCCTGGTGCTGTTTTTTTCCTCCAAAACTCCCCCTCCCCTTTTAGCAAAAAAAATTTATTTTTGGAATATTTTTATAATAAAACTATAATAATATTATTCCAAACTTATATATTATCTCTATATAAAATGTATTTCTTTTTATTGTGTTCTAAAATTTTCCATGCACATTTACCTAAAATAGTTTTCCAATTCTTTTTTAATCATCTTTTAAACGAGTATTATTGAGTTTTACCGAAAAAGAATAATAAAATTGATTCATATCGAAGTAATTGATATTAAAGAAATTACTTTAAAACATCACTTTAATTTGTTTTTTTTTTCAAATTCCTTTTTATTTTGTTTATTAGACTAATGGAGTATTAGATATGACCATAAAATAAATGTTGTATTCGACAACTATATTATATGTCTAATTTGAAAATGTAAAATATCAATCAATTTTTTCTTATTACATTATTAAAAAAAAGTTAATATCTTAGTAAATACAAAAAAGTTATTATCTTTTGATGAAACACTTTATTAAGATAATAATTTTATTACATTCGACATTCATAAATAAGCTGCATCTTAAAAAACACGTCGGACATAGTGACAAGTGACATATTCTTAAGTTTTTTTTTTTGGATAAATAGGTATCATCAGAAATGAAATTTTAAGGCAATAAACAAACAATGATCAAACTATAATTATTGGATAGCTTTCAAACACATTTTTATATAATAACAAAGAGCGACGATATCATGTAGAGCATCAATCCATAAACAGAAAATGTACTACTAATAATATAGGTTAGTGATGCCTAATTAGTGATTGTTATTGCCTTTAATGATCTAAGTAGTATTTATTTCCATTGAAATTATTTTATTGGATATAAAGATGATATATTATTTAATTTGTAATCTATATATTTACATGTATATTGTGCCAATAGTTTTACTGTAGATTTTAGTTTGTTGTTTGATTAATGTTTTGATGTTTATTAAAAGACATTTATAAATAAGTCTTTAGTCATATAGTCACTAGATTGTATAGTTTTATTGGGAATAATATGCATTATTAAGTAATATAATGTATACTACTTTTAAATATTTTCAACTCAACTAATCAACAATAAATTTTTTTCTTTCTCAATTGTAGTTTATATGAATTTTGCCTTATTATTTTATTTTTCTATATGCATTGTATTTGTTTATTCCACATGAGTTGCCTCATTTTTATATTATATCAAAATTCATTATGGAAAAAAGATTATTACTGCATCGCACGGGTACTAATCTAGTAATTAAAAAAACTGAAACCCAAGGCGGGATGGGAATCCAACGTGATAATCGGCTCGATTACCATCAATGTGACACATGAGTTAGTGTATGTTGATCAGCTGAATATTTGGGCCGGGGATGCGATCAAATTAAATGTGGATTACTTTTGATATTTAGATGAGATGTACAACTTCAATAAATCAAAGCATGTGATTATTGGTCATCTCTTTCGGTATTAAACATTATACATGTGATAATGTTACAAGATCTCAGGTGCTCCTATAATTTCATCAACTTTTCGAACTAACTCAAAGTCATCGATCCCAATCCACCACATCCATGGCTGTTAACTGTTAAAGTGTATAAGTTTATGTTCAAGTCCACTCTTTCTACCGTTAATGACGCTTACTATTCACGTGCCAAACTATCCAATTAACATGGAAGTTGTCATATATATATATATACATACATTATTATTATGAAACTAGCTTTATCTAGTCTATTTCCTAGCTTAAATTCTTGTGATCCAACAAATTTTTCAGACGACATTCAGAAAGCTACCTTACACTCCAATAAACTAGGACAATTGTCACAAAAATGAATGTTGATCATCCTAAATATCTTCATTCAGTCAAAACCAAAGAAGCTGCTGCTGCTGCTACTACTACTACTATTGGTGTCGCAAGTTGTAAGGTGGGGAGAAGGCGGAGGTTGATATCTCGAGAAGCTTCTAATTTAAGTAACTTCTCCGTGGAGGCCGGGGGTGGTGAGTATCATGCACAAGAACCCGCGGCTGTGCCCTTTGTGTGGGAATCAAGTCCAGGTACACCCAAGCGCCATATTATTATGAGGTCTTCAAATTGTGATCATGAAGTTGATCACTTATTTCCTCCCTTAACTCCCCCGCCTTCTTATCAGTATAAAGGTAACAAATATGCAACCACAAGAATAAGGCCGGCTTTTACTTCTAGCAAGAAAAAGAAAGAAAATGATGCTAATAGTAATAATAATGTTAATCTTATTCAATCAATATTTCCAAGATTGTCTTTTACTAGAGATCATTCTCCAACATTGTCATCATCCTCATCGACCAAATCATCATCACTGCCATCAACTTCTTCATCGTCATCGCCGTCCTCACAATCACGTTCCGTGGTGTCAACTCCTCCTCCTATACATAGGCAAAAGTTGTCATTTGAGTACCCTAGTGCAGAAGTAGAGGAGGAGGAAGAGGAAAGAGTAGTGGGTATACGTAGGAGTGGTTCGCCTGTTTCTACTTTGTGTTTTAGTCGTCTTTCTTGTTGCAATGCCAAGTTCCGAGGTCTCTACTCGACTTGGTTCTAGCTTAGATGAGCAATCGCCAATGCATCACATTGGCTACCATATATATATATTACATTTTTTTGCGAATTCCAACCAATTAGTTTTGGTGATTCCTAATTAGATCCGTATTATGTAAGCTTAGGATCTAATCGTTCTAAGAAATACCCTAAATGCAAATAATTCAAGGAAAATTTGGTTTTAATAATCCTAACTTTAGCCGATTTTCTTTAAATAATCCCAACTTTTGATTATTCTATAATAATCTCAACTTATATAAGTACTTCTTATAATAATTCGAACTTTTGTTTTTGTAATACATAATAGTCTCAAAAGGGGTCAACAAAAGCAACAAAATAACACTTCGTATTATTTTAGGATGATACATGTATAAGTTGGAATTATTCCAAAATAATCAAAAGTTGGAATTATTTAAAGAAAATCGACCAAATTTGGAATTATTAAAACCAATTTTTCCATAATTCAATGAAAGTATTAAGCAAAAATGCATAATATAATTATTAGAGATTGAAAATCTATATGAACTTTGTATATGATGTCACCCTCTGTATATCCTTCTTAGCAGCGTAACACGTAACAAGCCAAAACGGCAAAATAATCCTAGAAATGTTTCACATAACACGTAACATTAACACTGGAGGTTAATGTTGTCAACAATGAAATCATTTGGCAAGTTGAGATTTGGAAGTTGCCAGAATTAATTCATCGCCTTTATGATATATATTTAAGAGGTTAATAGCTAGCGGGAAATAGTAAGGCCTAATTTCGTTTCTGAACAGACTTGATCACCTCAATTTATGCATCCAGCCGGCACCCTTAGCTTCATGCGCATAGCCAGTTAATTAGTTTAGCCGGCCACCTCGAATGTTAGCTACACTAGTGTGATACCGATACCTTAATGTCCATGGTTCAGCCACACCGTGTATCAAATTTATACCTTTAATTTAGGACATGATCATGTACTCGTAGCACTCAAATTGCCTTAAAATTGTTTGGTCTTGACCCAAGCGTTTTTATAAGGAGGTTAGATATACACGACTTTACCCCTAAACTATATGGCTTGGTGACGATACATTCAACACCTTCACCAGCCACCACATTATTGCTCATTAGATTCCAGAATAATTCAAATTGTGACGCAGCAGAATATTATTGTTTAACTGGGGCGTCAGACAGTAGTACGTAAAATATACTCTCACAAGGAAGATTCTGAGTGTTATTTTGAATTTTGAACGCTACAATCTGCAGCAAAATAATCTTAAATTGTAATGTTTCCTATTATGCATGAGCTTAATTAACAAGCAATATTATTAGATAAATAGCAAATGCTTAGCGCACAATTCGCTGTTGACTGATAATTTTCAGTTTCAATTGAATACAGAGCGACTGTACTGTGACTGACAATCCGGAGGACATAACATAATGTTTCGTCGTGCCATATCATGCGAGCTGTACGTAATGTCCGATGTCCCTGATTCATACACCACTGCACCCTCATAGCGCAGCTAGCTAGGCAGCATATTATCACTACCCAAGTTACCAAGACATATTTTGTAAATCAATCTGAGGCCTCATTTAATTTGCTTCTTGTTTTGTGGTTTGACTGGGTATCACTTGTATTAAGGTATAACTAATAAACCCCTGTATCGTAATTAAGTTGAACAACCATTGATTTTTGTGTTACTTCTTTATTGACTTGCTACTAAGACGGCTCGCTTTGAACACTTTGGGTCTTCCTTTGTTTATTTGCAGATTCCTTTATACGGTCAACGCACACAAGAATCTAATAGTAATGGCTTAGATTTTAAGAATAACTTGCATGTGAGTTGAGACTAATTGTACATATCACAAAGAGAAAAAGAAGATGATGACAATCATATATATAAGACAAGTGGATTAAACAACCTAACTATTACGGAATACCATCTGGTTTTAAGAAAGAACAGTATAAGTGTATAACAGCAGGGGAATCACAATATGTAGCAACTAGCAAGAGTGCAAGAGCTAGACTACCAACCTTGGCCTACACTACCATATTTATTTAATACGGAGTATCTCATAAACTCTACATATCGATCTATTTATTCAACAGTCTTCTTTTATTCTAAGTTTTAACATGACGATATTGGAATCCAATACTCATGACTTGAAAAAGCCACAATATTCAAAGGTCCTTTAAATACTTATGTAGTATACGTGTAGCTTTAAACTCATGGATGCAAAGGGCATGAGAATTGTGAAAATAAGTAATATCAGTTCAAATTTCTCTAAATTTTATTATTATAGATTTATAGGTTATATAACTATATGATAAATGAATCTTATTTTAACCCTTTATTGTTTTCTTTTCACTAGTACGAAGATAATACTACCTCCGTTAAATATTACTTGCAACTTTGAAATACAACTAATATTTAACGGAGGTAGTAAGTTTTTGATATATGTGAAACAAAAGTTGAAGTTTGATATATTATACCTCATTATAATTTTCTTTTTATTGAGTCTACTTTATTTTAATTTATTTATTTATTTTTTATTTTTTTTGACGGGCTACATTATTTTAATTTTGACAAGCAAACACTTGGCCAAATGATTGACTTTCTCTAAGCCTCAAAAGGATTTTTGTGCCCCGACGTCTCTCCACAGCCGCAAATTTTAGTGGTAATGGACTTGATAATTTATTTAACAATTACAAAATTTTTCCTACAGTTCATTAATTGACTTGGTAATGAACATTTGTTTGACGGATTCGATGCAGTCATGAACAACTTAATGGATTGATCGATAAGCCTTTCTAATATTTGTTTGCTGCACCCTATCATCATTCATCGCTTAACCATCATTAAGTCCAATATGATCAGGCGATCACACATACATGTATGTATGATGCATTATATCAGTAGTAGACTAGTAGTGTAGGTCCTATTCTCTTTAACTTAAATATAGTCACTAAATATTATATTCAATGTATAAAAATATGTTTTTTATTAGTAACCAATAAATTTATTGAACACATACAACATTGGATCGATCATTGAAAAAAAATAAGTTTGCAACTATGATTATTTGATCATTGCTGCTTATGTCATGTTTTACACCTTGGCCATGATCATAGTATTCAACTAGATTATCCCCGTGCGATGCAAGGTTTTAATAAAAATTATAGTATAGAACTCGTATATATAATGAATCTTTTCAAATTTTGTCATAAATTCATTGGAAGGAGATTTTTTAAAAGAAATAGAGTTTGAATATTTTAGGAAATTTCTGGACGTTTGAATATTAGTGTAAGGAATTGAGGAGAGGGAATGATAGATCTTTAAATCAAAAGAAAGGAATACAATTGCTATTCAATTTACATACTTTGGTTTTTTAGATTAAAGTTGTTGAAATAACTTAATTAGCTTGTTTACGACGTATCACACAAAAGAAAAAAAAGCCTTTCAAAAAAAAAAATGACATCATCAATGGTTTTAGACGGAAAAAAAAATTTCATAAAAAAGCGACACGTATACAGTTTTGAAGAAAGATGATGTCAGCAATGTTTTGTTTTAGTAATCATTAATAGATTATTCATAGTTGTAATTAATATTAATTGTAACATAATTGGGGTTTGGAATGAAAATGAATTTTTTTGAAAATGAAATTTATATATTGAGAGAAAAACCTAGTCACATGATGGCCGGTGAAGTTAGATTGACTGCAATAATATTCTTCATTTAGAATAATATAATTATAAAGTAATTAAGTATGCATGCAAGAAGGAATTGCTAATAAGTAGTAGTACCAAATTATTTAATTGGACACTCATGTGAAGTAGTTAATATAAGATGTATGTAAATTACTTAATTTGAAACAACTGTGCGATTTCTCAGCCTTAATTTTCGGGTCAAACAAGAACTCATGAACTCATATGAGTCATGGGTTTCAATTCTAAGCAACACCAGATTATATTGTGGAACAAAAAAATAAAAATAAAAATAAAGATAATTAAGCTCATATGCAATATGCTTGCAATTTTGCATTGTGTTGTGTTAGGGTGTTACATTTGATCCAAGAGTTCATACATCAACTTACCTAAAAATTTGACGATAATAATAATGGGGAAAAAAAATCTGCATCGTAATTTAAATTATGCTTTGCTTTGTGTTTGATATACCTGATCGTGTGTATAGTATTTAAATACTCTGTACTTTATAATCTATCAAGTGCTCTCCCTCTTATCTTATACTTGTATATTCTGTCATTCATATAAGTTGGAAAATAACCATAAGGGACTTGTATATTCTTTCATTCATATAACTAAGAACCGTACATAGTACGTAATTGTGAAATCATATTTTGATGTTGATGCAAAATTACAAACAAAATTAAATTGTTAATGCACAAACCTTTAAATTGAAATCAAAACATCTAAAAACAGTGAGTGTATTGTGTTAGTGGTTAATATTTAGTAGCTTAGTATGTACCCGATCCGATTGGATAATCTAAGTTGCCTCATTTTCTTACCTACCATCAGGATAGCGGCTTTGTTGAGTCAACTACCTCTTTTGTTACTTTGTTAAGCTTTCCCGCTTAATCACTCTTCACTAATTCAAGTTTGAAGGCTTTAGTAGTCATTAGTCAGCCCTAATAATAATTCATATAAGGAAAAAATTTGTCTAATAAGGTGTACCTCAAATTTAATAGCTGCATAAGTAACGTATAACCTTTTGAAAAATAAATTAATTGTGATTTAGTGTTACCTCTTATCAGACTTCACTTGATATAATTTTGGGGCTAATAACATCACTCATAAATTATGACTTATGACATTATATGGGGCACAAATAAAGCAAGAAAAAATAATGACGAGATTAGATTATATAATTTGAATAATAATCACCTCATAAGATTTAATCATACACTAACATATACGAATTACGGAGTACTCATTTACACTTCACATCCATTTCATAGTACATATTTACACTTTGTATAGTACTTCGTATATGTTAGCTAAACAATGTAAATTTGTTATCATATTCGCCAATTGCAAATTTTAATTAGAGGATTATGGTCTAAATTCAATTAAATCACAATATATTGCTCTAAAAAAAAACCGAATATAAATTAAAATAATGTGGTCAATGATAAGTTGGCTTTCATAGCCGTGAAGTAACCACACGTGGGGGAAGCATGAATCAGAGCTGGCATTACTAATATATTTTCATAATTTGTGTTCACTTTCCTTCTAATTTCCTCTAGAATTTTCTTTTTTGCGATCTCTTTTTGAGAATAACAAATTTCTTAATTGTATGCAATAACTACCGTATAAATTACGTACCATATTATATCTGCGTCTTTCACCAATTATTTGGTGATATATACCAAAATAAATTGTGTTTTATTTGCTCCATTGATGGAATTTTGACTTTGCCTTTTAAGCAACCACCCTTTCTCTATCCCCCTCCACTTCTTAGTTGCCTCCCTCTTCTTCTTCTACACAACATATGAATGTTCAGAGAAAGGTAAATGAGCCGAGCTGAGTCGAGTACTATCATATATAATAATAAACCTTTGTTTTAGTTGATTTACACGACCAATTCAATGTATATTGTATCGTTCTTAATTATTTTAGTGAATTTTATATATAGATATTGACTTTCTTGTGTTGGTGACAATTTCAGGGACAGGTTTGAAAAGGAAGAAATAGGAAAAAGGATAAAGAGAGAAATCGATGCTTCAAAATCAATGGTGGCAAGTAATAGTTGTTATGATAATAACAACAATAACAATAATCATCAGATAGTAGGAAGGAGATCGCACATGATGGGTGTAGGTCCTCCTCCTCATCTAGGTACAACTTTGAACACCATCACCCCTTGTGCTGCCTGCAAGCTTCTCCGGCGACGATGCGCCGAGGAATGTCCTTTCTCCCCCTATTTCTCCCCTCATGAACCCCAAAAGTTCGCTGCCGTTCACAAAGTCTTTGGTGCTAGCAACGTCTCCAAGTTGCTCATGGTATGTCCTAGTCCAACTACTTTCACCTGCCTAACTTAAACTTCTCAACTTGATTTTTTTTTTAAAAGTTTTACCATGGTTGTCTTCGCATTCAGAAGACAACCTTTGTAACAGAACAACCAGAACCAGTAGATTTTTATTGGTTCTGGTTGTTCATTGTATCATGTTACAAAAATCCATATTTTTGAATCATTGATTCTTTGATACAAATCTAAAATTAACGGTGTTTTTTTTTTTTTTTAGGAAGTTCCGGATAATCAAAGGGCAGACGCGGCCAATAGTCTAGTATACGAAGCGAACGTGAGGTTAAGAGATCCAGTATACGGGTGCATGGGTGCAATATCAGCTTTACAGCAACAAGTCCAAACATTACAAGCGGAACTTAATGCAGTTAGGGCTGAAATTTTGAAGTACAAATATAGAGAAGCAGCAAATAACCTGATTTCTGCAACTAATAATGCTACTAATCATCCTCATCATCATCATAATCATCATAATAATAACAATAATTCTTTGGTTACTTCTGTTGCTGCCGCGGTTATAGCTGCTAGTTTACCACAACAGGTACAATCCCCTCCGCATCAGCCTCAGTCTCAGCCTCAACGAGCATCCACACCGCCTCCACCGGCTACTCCTCCTCCTCCGTCTTCAGCTTCAGTCGTGGTTTCGTCTTCACCCTCCGGTGGTGCAGCCTCCTTGTATACACCACCACCACCACCTCCTGATCATTCTGTTACCAACACCGGGTTTAGTTCAATATCAACTAATAATCATAGTAGTGTTCCATATTTTGATTGATACTTTTTTATTCTCTTCTAATTTTCAGTTTTTATTTTTACCTTCACAAAACTGTAGTTTAGACTTAAAGACACTTTTTTTCTACTATAACATTGTCTGTTAGTATTAGTTTAGATTAATTAAATAATTAAGGCAAAATAGTACCGATACTACCTTGAACATTTGAGCCTACACAGTATTTACAGCATCTATTTTATTTTTAACCATTAATGGAATCTTTGTTAATTAGCCTTTTAAAAGAAGCAGCAATAATTGTTTAATTATCAATTTTATAAATGCGTACAACTTTCTCCGTTCCTTAAAGATTGCCCAAGAAACGGAGGTAGTATGCGTGCAATACAATAATATTATTTCCAATGGTTTTTTCTTCCTAGCTATTGAACAACGTTGACAAAAATGTTCTAAAATGTAATTAAGTACGTCCATTTCCTATCAATCTTAGTTTTCTTAGTACAATGTGAAAGCAAAGATTGATATATTAATGAGACGGTGATGATCAACAAATAACGCGACTGCAACCAAAGATTAGTTATAATCTTTCTTAAATTAGTGAAGATAGAGACTGCATACCACATTTTACATCATTCTCTGATACTCTCCGTATGACATTTGGTACCATTATTTGACATGTATGTGGGCTATTAGGTTTCTCAAGATTAAAGTGACATGAGGGTGATATATACTACTTATATGATATATGTTGGTCCACAGAATCATGTACTTGCCGGTAATGTTTTGCAAGCTAGGTTGATCATTAGGTTCACCATACATTTTTTTATTGCCTAAACTTTGAACCGTTAATATTTTGTTTACTTCGTAGATTGATTCAATTGTGTTATGTCATGGCTAGCTAATGTAGTTCAATTTACATTGAAAACACAAAACCTAGCTTATTATTTACAACATGTGTTTTCTAATAAAATTATATTGTACTTGAAGTTTATCTCAAATTCCATAAATTTTAATACAATAATGTGTCCATGACTCATATATTATCCTCAAATTTTATTATCTAAATTTGATGATGTAAAGCACAACAATATTATCTAATGAAAAGGTCTTTCGTTCCATCATGCAATTGATGTCACCTAAGGAACCCAAAATTGTTAAGGACGCCAGCTAGTTTATTTGGTTGATATATACTTTCTATATCAAATTATCAATTGCATGTAACTTATACATGGGAGTAAAATCTTTTAACCAAATCTAATTTGTATATAACACAATAATTTCAGTAGAAGAATGAGCTGTATATCATCATCTCATCATAGTTAAAATGTTAAGCTATGCAATACGTACGTATATATGACTTATATACTATGGTTGAACGGTCAAATAAAATTGGCAACAACCTTATTGAACTACAAATTGTGTTTCCTTGGCGTGGGGAGCTCACTTTAATTTTAGTAGAATATGGGATACAAAAATTAATTACTACCAAAATACTACCTTTTTCTTTTTTTTTTTAATATATATATATATTTCTTATTTTATGGGGAATCGTGCATGTCTACATACAATTACATATATAGTACACGTATGCAATGTGATCCGTATAAAAATTAGATAGATTCATACAAGATGCGTATTTTAATTCTTAAAATTTGTACAATTGTATGTTAGGAAACCTTAGAAAATGGAGAAGTGGTGATGGAATTTGGCGTCACGTCGACATTGCTTAAACATGTCGCATCTATTAAGCACCTTTGATCTATAGTCTACAACTCATAAGTACAGATTGTTATTTTTTAAAATTATTGAACAATTTAACAACAATTTTCTATCTATTAGGTCCGTCCCTATTTGCGCTATCTTATGCCCGTTGTCCTCAATAGTCATATTTGTAAAAAATTATCGTATTCATTGCAACTTCGGTTACAAAAATATACAACACGAGTCTAACAAAAAGAGGTTACAAAAGTGACAACTTTGTTTTATGTGGGTAAAACTTGTTACACACGTACCTGGTTTGTTGTAATCGATGCCAGGCCATTACATATTGTCAATATTGACAATTGTGAACAAATAAATATAGCAAAGGTAATTAAAACTCAGGCAGAAGAGATGTTGAGAATATAACACACAAAAAAGGGGTAATCACATGGTTAGATAAGCAGATTTCAATGCTGCTTTAATAACACAAAAAAACCCTAATATTAATCGTTAGATCCAGTTGAATAGTACTATATGTCCAATAAATTAACACAGCTTCTGGCTGAAAAGATTTAATCAAAGCTAGAGGGACTTGGAAAATAGCAGATCATGTTCATGGGATGGTTGTTTAATTTTGGATCTGGTCTGGTTATTTCATAAATAAATTGTACTGTGTAGTTTTCTGATTTTGTCTATTGATTGAAATTAAGGTACAATTTAATTTTTATAATCAATTATATAATTATTATTATTTTATATAATATTGACTCTTCCTCCCTTGTTCCGTTGTTCGTGCTAGCAAGTCTTTCTTTGTTTAATTAATTTGAGATGATACTTATAATGTCATAGATAATCTAATGAAAGCTAGAATTATAAAATTATTTAGTTTGAGGATTGTTAATTAGTGTGTATAATGCAACTTCCCATCAAGGGACCATATTTTGGAGGTGAAAGGTAGCAAATGGCAATTTTTTTTTACTCTTGTTGACTTTGTTATTTTGACAATTTACTCAATAGGAATCATCATACTACCTCCATTTCAAATATGTCAATTGTTGCAAATAATTAAAATTGAGATAGTATATAACTCAATGAGAAGTGAGAATCCAACTACAACAATAATTATTCAATAATAATCACATTAAGAGAGGATTTAAGAATATTCAAGGGTACATACCTCATTGCAAGTATAAGCAAATTACAAGTAGGGGCATCAATTCGGGTCTGCAGGTCGGGTTTGGGTCAAAATTCGGGTCGATTTTGGATTGTGCTTAGAAACTATCAAAAATAGTGTAAAACTAAAAAATATTACGAAATATGAAATTTAGGTCAAATCGGATCGAATTCGGGTTTGTTTAGATCAGGTCGAGTTAGGATTTCTCTCGATAACTTCGGGTTGAATTATCGGATCGGGTCAGGGATTGCCAGCTCTAATATTCCATTATATATTCTCTAATCTCTAAGATGATGTGACAATAATTTGCGAACGTTATTAATTTAGTATACCACTTTTTTTTGGAAAAAAATTGTTGCCAGGTCACATATGAAAGCATTATTTACAATTCCACAAAGATTAGAGGCTGATTCGCCTGATTGGGTTCAATGCAAGCAATTTTGAGACAATTACTTATCATTAATAAAGATTAAAGAAGTTACATTGAAATTAGCAACAAATATTTGCACACAATAATACATGAGTAAGCCCAACCTACCCAACCCACATATATAGTAAGTTGTGAAATTAAGTAAGGAAGCCCATGAGGTATAACTATGTTCCCTGGTCCATAACCCAAGCCCATAAGAGATAATGCTTAGGAAAAAAAAAAAAAAAAAGAAAGCTTCATTTTTATTGACCAGAAATTTCTACAATTGAAAACAATATTATGTCACACTTGAAGAAAATTTGTTGTGCTTCCCTCAGTAGTACAACCAAAAAAAATTTCACAACCCACACAAATAATTAAAAATTGGTACGTAGCTAAAAACAAATTCAATTTTGCTGATTATGCAAACTTTTTTTTTTTTTTTTTTGGTGTTACATGATCATTCTTCTTGGTTGATCAACTTAATTGGCCTTCCTACAATTCTTCCTGATTTCGCCTTGAGAGCCGGTGAGAGGGCTAATATCACCCATCTTGATCATGGAAGTGGCAAAATCTGACCTAAAGAATCCAGGACTGTTACTGAATGATCGAACGATGGAATCAGTTGATCCACCACTATAGAGCTGCTGGTCTGAATGTAGCAAACCCCTCTTGGTAACGAGGTTTGTGTAATATTTGTTGTCGAAATGTGTAGGACTCTGAAAGTCTAAGGGAGCGAGGTTGTTGTCGCCCTTTCCACTTGTTCTAGGACAGTTCTGCTGCCTTGTGCTTGCAAAAGAAGCAGCGATTGTGCTTGTTTCATTGTATATGTGTGTTCTGAATGTTGTACACCTTGCCTGTCCTATTGTGTGTGCTCCTGCATGATAATAATAATATTAGTCACATAACTCACATAATATTGTGTGTACTGTGTATATATCTGATGACCGTGAAAATCCAAATTGATTATTTTGGGATGGAAAGAGTATAATTTGATTGACTCGATATGATATTTATTTAAAGAAGCAAAACTATACAAATACATTATGACAGTCAGAACAGAGGTGTGCATATATACCAGATAAGGCAACCATATCTTTGGCTGATAAACCATTAGACTGAAACCGAGAGATGAGACTGCTAAGGCTAGAACTCGGGGCTGGGATTCCGTTGTTGGCAGCAGTCTGACTCGCTGTCTTGGAATCGCGACGCCCTAGCTTGACATTCCAATTAGGACCACCAAGCTGCAATAGATAGTAACAAGAACATCTAATTAGTTACCTAGTTAAATTGTAACAAATGTACGAAAACTCGATTGCCTAGCGAATATTAAAGGATATAGGAGCTTACAAGAGCGACAGAGTCACGGGAAGTTATGGCAAGGATATCAGCACAAGATACAACTCCGGGACAGACCTCCTCTACTTTGGACTTGATTTCATCAATGACATTGAATCCCCTTGCTGAGTTCAAATTTGGAGCTGCTGATTTCTCCCCTTTGAAAGACGAGGTGTCATCCAACAGAATTGAGCCATCACACCCCTGAAATGTTCAACAAATCATGATTATTATGAAAACAAGCTAAGCTATAGTTCATTTAATCTCTAATTCTCTGATATATATAGGACAAATATAAAAGTTGTATATATGTATTATGTGATCAAGCTATTCCTAGTGTTTCTCTAGCATATATTGATATTATGAAATAACACGTTCAAACTTCAGAATTTTGGTAATGTAAAGTAGAACAACACAAAACTCGGCCCTTGACCTTAAGGTTGGAAGGTTAGAGTGTTGCAACTTGTTAACTAAAAAGAGGGAAATGAAGGATATATGCATGAGATTTTAACTAATATGTACATATTTTCTATTTAAACCATAAGAATTAAATTCGAGGAAAAGGATGTTTAAAGTTACGAAATAATGTAAAAAGGCAGAGTTAATTACATTGACAAAGCAATCATGGAAGAAAAGTCGGAGAAGAGAGGCGCCCATGCGAGGTTCCTTAGATATGGCAGATTTAACAACGGAACGGACGGTCCCAAAGAGCTTAGGACATGACTTAGAATAGAAATTGGGAGAGAGCTGAGCGGAGGAACTGCCTATGAAGAGCACTAGAAAGGATAAACAGACTATCCTAATCAAACTGGAAGTTGAACTACTTGAAGAAGCCATTTCTTACGTCTAGTTTGTTATTTTGCTAGAAAAGATTGTAAGATGAGCTAGTACACCAAAATAGAGTAGATAAGGTGGGTGTATTTAAAGAGACGAAAATACTAGGATCTTAGCTAGAATTATGGCACTTTGGACCACCTGGTTTTACCTACTGCTGTGCATGTTCATTGAAAGTTCCATGCATAAAATTATCTACTATTACTGCTCATGACGGCCTCCATTCCTATAAGTCTCGATTACATTTAAGCACGTAAGCTAAAAAGATGTTAGTTATTGATTTGGTATTTAATTTACTCGAGCAATTGTATGCCCCAAAAAAGACTTCCTAGATAAATTTCAAAATGTACTATGGGTCATGTACGTGGACTCAGGGTCGATACATCCAACGCTCTGAGTCACTCATTTAACGACCAAGTTTTCATAATACTACCTATTAAAATGTTATTGGTTCATAGTTCACCTCGATCAAATACATAAGATTACATTAAGTTCTTAACTAATTGAGGTAAAATTATATGAATTTGGCTCAATAAATGTTCGATTAAAATTTATTGTGTACAGTATATCAATCATATAATCTTATATTATTACGTAGTAGCATGCTGCTAAAGAAAATTTAGCAACAATAATCAAGTGTTTATAAGAAGCAATTTCAAAGAAATGGGGTCCACTAAAGCCTTGATATACTAATTTGTTGAGGCTGCGCTGCTTTAGATCATTAGTGATGATAAAGATGTCGTAACAAAAATTATTTGACTCTCTCGAAACATGTATGTTTGATTACCAATTGACTTTGTCTTATGTTGTATGATTTGTTTGCTTTTTATCTTAATCTTTAAATTTTACTTTTTATTTACGTATTAAAGAGTTTAATGTTTGACATTCTACTTGAATCAATATGATTAAATTAGTTAGAGAATATATAGCAGCCGACCAATTATATCTTTGCATTTGTAGCAAAAAAGAAGATTAAGCAGGCCAACAACCAGGCAATATCTTCGTTAAAATAATTGTTCTTTTGAAGAATAACTCTATATTTTTGAAAATTTAATGTGTAAAAGGGGTTCAAAATTTACTGTTAAAGTCCGATCCCCTCAAAACTGACATTCCTTGTTTGCCTTCTTCTACGAAGGTGGAAAGCTAGAGATAATTTTTCATTATTTCCATTTTCATCTTTATTATGACCCGTGATTACTAACGGTCCATCATGTTTAGTCTTAACTCTCATCAACCCCTTGTAATCAAGGAACTGACTTGATTATGCGTGCTTGTTTTCTACTCCCTCCGTCCCTTAATGATAGTCCCTTTTAGGAAAATTTCACAAGAATTAAGAAACTTAAATAAGAAGTAGTAAAAGTACATTGTAAAAGTAAATTTACATGGGGCATGTAAAAAAGAAGAGAGAGAAAGTAATTAAAGTATATGGAATTGCAAAATTTACATAGGGAATCTAAATTTGCACAAATATTGTTGCAAATTGGAGGGAATTTTGGTAAAAAATTAATATTAATAGTTGTTGGAAAAAGCAAATGGGGTGAACATTTTGGGACTAAAATTTGGTCATAAGGGACTACCATTAAGGGACGGAGGGAGTATAATAATTGTTTATAACCTTCTTATTAGGGCTACATATAAGCATTAAATACACTCTTGAAAATTGTATAAAATTAGAAATCCATGACAAAAACACACGCGTAAATCAGTGTAATTAGTGTTATGATTTTCTAAATATATACGATTTTCTAGTATGTATTTAATGTTTATATGTAATGCTAAATTGCTAAAGGGTATGTATAACATTTTTCTTATTTATATACATTTACTTCAATTCCGGCTATACTAGAAAAGGTGACATGTTTTTCCAAATATCAAAAATAATACTCCGTATAGTGTATATGTGACGACTTTTAATTTCGGACGTAATAATATAAGAAGTATGTGTTACAAATTTACAATCATCAAGATGTAAGCCGATAAGATTTAATTGTAGAACCAATTGGTACTAATCTAATAAGCCCACGGGATTTATGTGGAAGCAATTAACACCTCCTTAAGACCTCAACTATATGCGAATTATTCTTTTCACACTAGCTAGTTATATATAAATTGTAGTAATTATTTTTAATTTTATCCAAACATACAAGTGATTATGTCCTTGTCCAAACCTAATGGTTGACTATATTATTATTTTAAGTGGATAATTGGTGCTTAGCACCCATAGTTTAGATCCTATCAATTTAATTCTTATCCTCCAACGTCTAGCAGCTAATAATTGGTGCACCAATCGACATCTATCTTGTTTGAAAATTATGCTACAAAAGACTATTACTAGCTCATCAATTTGATCTTTACAATTATATCATCAAGCTAGGTGGGTACTAACAAATACGTAAATGATTGATACACATTTAGTCCAATAACAAGGTACATTAGTCAATTTAAATACATTATTTTTTATTATTTGAGAGAGTCGTCAATAAATTTTTAAGTCTAAGCTAATACCATTATACCAAACACTTGTACTTGATCATACAACATCGTAACACTTATCGATGAAATTCCGAATTTATTATTCTAGTGATCAAACTCAAAATAACAAAATTAGTACTTTAATTTGTTAGCTAATGTTAATTCAAACATTGTGTGCCATGCAATGATGCATGCATGCGGAGCAATAAGAAGGACATTGAATTTGTATGAAGGGAATAGTAGTCGACGAATTGAAGGGTTTGGCGTGGAATGTAATAGAAATAAGATGATAGTCAAAAAAGTTAATGCAACTTTATAATGTAGGACAGTTGGCAGCAGCTAAGTTCCAAGCTAAACAATGCAAAAAAAGGTAGCAGGTATGTAGTGCAGCACACTATGCTTGAATAGAGTAGAATAGTACTTCATGTCGTTTTATCATATGCTTCAACAATTTGCATATAATCGAATATTATTACGAGTATTATTATCAGTAAAGAACACGTGAGAATGAATATGATTGTATGTACTATGGATTCAATATGAAGGTTTCAATTCAAATATAAGCGCAGACAATACTTGAAAGCTAATAAGGGAAGTTCATGGAATATTCATGCTGCGTGACGGCTCTCTTTTGAATGAATATTGTCCCAATTCTATCTTTTTTAATCACGAAAGAGAGAGACAATGAAGGATCGGAGGTAACAAAGTTAAGATACCGTTACTCAATAAGAGCATATACATAGTTCGAACATAAACAACTATTATAGTAATTAGACTATTAATAGTAAGATTTAGGTTAATTTCCCTTTCTTGCCTTTTAAACATAAGGGGATGCTTACATTAGAACAAAATTTGATGTTAGATTGCTAAACACTAAAGATTTATACATATATGCTACTCAAAAAAGGTAGGTGGCAAATAAAAAAATAAATAAATAACATTCAAAGCTTACATTACTTGTTATAATTTCACAAGTAATGAATTTGGTAGTAGTTCAAAGTCTTCAAACCATCTACTTGTATTACATGTTATATTCTACTTCATACATTATTTTAGATGTATTAGCAAAAATGTTATATTAATTGAGATTATGTTATTTTTCCTTGAAAAATCCTGATCAAAACGTATACACTCCAAATACGTACTATGTATCGTATGATATCTTTTCCTATCTTATTCAAGACTAATCTAAACTTATTTTTGTATGAAGCAATAATAATTTTGGCCCTAAAATTATTGAATCTAGGCATACCATTGGACCACATTCAACATATAATTAATATCGGTTGTTAATTTGTTATACTTCCTCCGGTTTCAGTTATTTGCAACATTTACCTAATCGGGGTGCTTGCTATTATTTGCAACAAATAGATTTGTTTCCCTTTATGGTAATTTTTTTAATTGTAAATTTACGATAATGCCCTTAGAAAAAACTGATTATATTTTAATCCAAAGATTAAATCTACTTACCTAAAATTAATACCCACCCAATTAATATAACCATTCCCACCAAAAATTTAGGGTTCCCATCCCACCTCATTTACCATCTCAGTGTTCATCTTCCCAACTACCCTATTGAATGCAATTCCCACCCACCATCATTAATGGCGACTGTTCAACATACTGGTTCTTCCCCCTTTCTACACCAATTATTCCTTGTTTTTGTCTTTTGCTGTCTCACTCTCACTCTTCTCACAGAAAACCCCTCCTTTATCTCACTTTCTCTCCAATTCGAAACCCTAATTTTGGCAGATTTGGGTTTTCTACTACCTATTTCTTCCAAAATCTTTGAAAAATGAGTTCCCCTAACCAAAAAAAGCCATACCCTGACGTTGATGCCACCTACAAGTGCCAGCCACGCACTGGGAGGATGCGTTTGATAGGTACGCGTACTGCAACCTACCTTGATATGAAACGTAGAACTGGAGGGGGTGCAAAGCTGGCTCCTTACGACTCCGATAAGGAGCGTGATCCCACTGTCTCTCTAGATCTGGGCAAAGAGGTTGAGGGATCCGTCAATAAGCCTCCTGAAATTGTTAATCTGGACAGCGATGATGATGAAACCCCAGTTGCAACCCCTGTATAGACCAGAACCGTTGCGGAGGTGGTGGGTGTGGTCAGATCTGAGTCCACCAAGGAGATTTCTGGAAAAAAAGCGCGTCAGATCTGAGTCCCCTGTGCCTGACGTTGTTGAAAGTGAAGGGTCTTACAACCCTTTCGCCACTACCTCCAACTAATCTAGCAGCGTAACTCAATTCTTTACCTAAATTTTTTTGACTACTTTATCTGGTGTTTTTTAGATTTCTCCTGATTTGTTGAGCTATTGTTTGAAAAAGTTGCGTTGAGTAGCCTGATTTCCATGCTAATTTCCATATACAGTGTTAGTTTTATCTGTTGACAATGATTGATTTTTATTGTTTACTGTTGTTGGTCGTTCATGCTGGTTGCCCTAATTTTGCTCTGTTTCGGGTGTTGAGAGTGATTGCTAGTAACTATGGGATTTTGTTAGTTGAAAGATTTGGTTGGTTTGTTGTCCTGAGGCTGGTGCACAGACTTGAGTATGTTGTTGTTGCCTGTATAGGTTGCTTGCTGTGTTTGCTGTTCATGCTGGTTGGTGGTTGGCTGTGAGTGGGAAATTGTTCCTATGGTTGTTTGATGATGTTGTTATTTATTAGGTTATCCTGTTTCTGGCTTTATATGTTTTCATTTGTGGTTGTGTGGGTAATTTTATTGCATTCAGTGAACATGCTGGTTGTCCCTGTTTCTGTTATGTTTTGATGTCTATTTGGCATAGGGGTTAATGCTATGGTGAATGATGATCAACTTGTTGCCTACATGAGTATCCCTGTATGAGTCCCCCCATGTGATATCTGTCCCTAGGTGAAGTAAGAGTCCCTCACTGTATTGTGTGTGCCTGCAAAATCCAAGTGATGAAGGGACTCATTTGACACTTAACATGCATAACTTGGAATTGCTCCAAAAACTCCATATAGGAGTTGTTGTTGAGGGAATCGATTTTGCAGTGTATGTGAAAAAAAACCCATCTGATGGAATGATGCTATGAGTCTGTTTTGCAAAGTTACCTCATCCTCATTCTTGTAAATAAGAGAACCATCATTGAACTGATAACATTTATCAAAACCTTGTACATTTCCCATAAATAGGTTGTTAAGACTGCCTTACAATAATAGTTTGCATACACAAAAGACACCAAACCAATGATTGACATACTGTAATTAAAAAAATAAAAATAAAAATAAAGCACATACTGTGTTACATGCTTGTTCTTAGCTTTTCAATGGTTATGTGTGGCAGTCCCAATAAAACCTTCTTCATTTCTTTGACTTGAGTTCAGTCAGCATCTACTTGCATCCCTTCATCTTCTTCAATCCCTTGGTCAGTTGATATGAAAATAGTGTTGAGGTAATCAACAGCCTGTTAAACCACATTTTTTTCCACTTCTAGTTGCTCTGGCAGCATCCCAATCCTCTCAAGCCTTTTTTTGCCTTTGTGGGGTGGGATAAAGTTATTCCCTCCTTGGTGTTTCAGAATCTCTTCCGTAAAACACTGTAGACTAATCCAACAGTGCTTGTTCAACATTGGGTTGAACAACTCATAAGCCTCTTTCACTTTTGCAATGAGTTCCATTAGGTTCTTGGGAAAATATTGGTATTGTATTGATTGTATTACATTGAACAGCCCTAAATCCAGCACATTTTAGTCTGGGGACTGAGCTGGCTGGTAAATGAATTGAATATTGAATCCTTCAGACTGATAGGTTGATTCAAATTCCTCATCCCTTGGAATTTGATGAGGTCTGACATTATCCCACTGAATCCATATATCCTTGGGTAGATGGGCAGGCCATTTAGCTTTGATTGCTGGAATGACATTGTTGATTAACATTGCTCTTATGGCTTCTTTGTTGACATTCTGTGTTGCCTTGATTTCTACATACAACACCAGCCTCTCTATTTTTGCTTTTTTTTCTTGGCTATGCTTTCATAGACAAATGAAAAAATTCCATATTTTCCATCATGTAGTAATGCTCCATTAGGGTCAAAAATTGGTTTCCCTATGGCTGCCATGAACATCCCTTTCACTTTGAACCTCTTGGACTGTTGGCACATGTATGGATTTGTCTCATTTGGTAGAAGGTAGAACCTCCTTGTTTCTTGGTTCAAGTAGAACCATTTTTCATCTACATGAATAACTTGTTGCATGTCCACAAACTTGGGGTCCCCATTCTGTGTGGCTGGTAGTATATGATTTAACACCCATTTCATTCTTGCTATTTTGTGGTTGGATGTCAATGCTGGGTGATTTGTTGCTGTATGTATTCTCAGTCTGCCTTATTTCTTTAATTTATGGATGGCTGAATGTGAGATGTTGAGAGCAGATCCATAGCTTCTCTATGTTGTCCTCTTATGCAATGGTGCTGACTGTAGGAACTCATCAGTGTACTCTCTGGGTTTGGGTCCAGTTTTGCTCAATTTCTTGCTCATGACATCTATGACATTCCCCTTTGCCATTTGTGTTTTGATGTCTGTAAATAATCTCTAGATGGTTGACCTGTGTACATTGAAATTTCTTGCTTGTTCTGATAAGTACCCTCTGGGCAACTCCCCCCCCCCCCCCTCCAACTTCAGTAGAAAACCATCTACCAGCTCCCTTTTTTGCTGTGCAGTCAATTGTTTTCTTGCTGTTGGTTTCTGAAATCCACCCTCATGCTGATTGTTGTTGCTGTCATTCAGTTCAGTCCCAACCTGGTTGTTTGCTTCACTGTGTCCCATATTGTGTTCGTCGTTTAGCATCTGATCAATGCCAAAAAAATGGATCATTTGCAAATACTGACATGTTTAGCTATGTTGCACCGATACGGACACGGACACGGACACGGGTACGATACGGACACGGTAAAACGGCAATCCTAAAATAGGGGACACGGGTACGGCGAATAACTAGGCATATAATATATTAAAAAAACGAAAATTTGACAACCTATTCAATAAAACACTAAGTAATTAAACTCAAAATAAGTCATTTTGTTTAAAACAAGTAATTATTTAGTGTCCGTACCAGTGTAATTATTTAGTACCGTAAAACAAGTAAACAAATTCGGTACTCATCTATCTAAACAAGTAAACAAACAAGTACACAAATACACTCAAGTAAACACTATTTCTTCTTCCTTTCTCTCTCCTCTCATCTATCATTTCTCACTCTTAAACTCCCATTTCTCGATCTCTCTGTGTCTTCCTCCAATCATACATCACAACACTTTGAAATTTTTTTCAACTCTTCAATAACACCAAAAAATCTACTCTAACAAGAAAAATCGAGAATTAAGGGATGAATTTAAATGAAAACGAGAATGAGAGGATTAACTGAGAGCACCGGCGGTGACGAGCGAGGGCGACGAGCGACGGGAAAGATTAAAGGGGGTTTCCGTTAAATTCGAGAAAGAGAGGACGGAGAATGACACCTGCGACACCGGTGTGAGTGGTGACGAGCGGCGGTCAGCCGGTGACGAGTGACGGCAGTCGGAGACAATCTAGGTTGCGGTGAGGCTGAAGTTCCAGTTGTTGCCTTGTTGGTGTTTGAGTGACGAGAGAAAGAAGCAGAGAGGATTGAATTTGAGATAGGCAGGAGGACATGAGCAATTGAGCAGTAGGGTTTGAGGAAAATGCAAAATTAGCGTGTCCACTACCAAACGGGCCGTGTCTAGGGGTGACACGGTCCGTGTCCATGCATCGTTTTTAAAAAAAAAAAATTGGACACGGATTTTGGTGTGTCCTAGACGTATCGTACCGTGTCCCACCCGTGTCGGTGTCGGACACGCGAGTCGACTCGGACACCCCTATTATGTGGCGTGTCCGTGCATCACAGATGTTTAGTGTACTTATGATGCTGAGTTCCCTAGTTGTCAGGTCTGGTGATGAGGTGTGGGAGGTTTTTTTTTTTACCGGGTTGCTGTTGCTGAACCAGAGAAGAAGAAGATGAAGCTGCAACTTACGTGGTAGTAGTTAATTTCTAGAATGTAGGTAGAACTGACTTTTGGGACTGTTTGTGTGTTTCTGGAATGTAGGACACTGATTTTGTAATGAATGTTTGGTAGGAACTGACTTAGGCAGGTGGTTTAAATACCCCTCCTTGAATAAGAAATTCAAAGGGGGGAAAATTTGAATGTGTTTTGTAATTTTGGATTTGGTGGGAAAAAAATTTCGGTGGTTTTCATGGTTTGTATGTGTATGGTTTGATAAAACAAGGGGGTAAAAAAATTTGAGGGGGAAAAATGGGTGGCAAAAAAATTGGGGCCAAAATTTGCCCAAAAAATTTAAATTTTGGGTCCACATGTTTAACTTTTTCTCTCTCCCAAAAGAAAAGACTAAACACTACCTAAAAGTTTTGCATTGGTATCCGTAAACGATACCATTGTTGCAAATAACCAAAATCGGAGAAAGTATATCAAATATCAATGCAACATTATTACCAGCCCAATGAAATAGGGCCCAAATTTTATGGACTAAAAGTTTAAAACACATTACCAAATAATGAATTCATAAATCATAATCCACTAAACAGAAAAATTAAAAATAAAATTCTTCAGAATAGCAGTTTCTCTCGCGGCGGAGAAAAAACTACTGAATATTTCCCGATGTCAATACCACCGCAAAACCCGCCGATAATCTCCGGCTCCACAACCTCCATTGACGGCGGCGCCACCGGTCTCGAAGCTTACTTACTCAACTTACTTCATCAACACCAAATCTCCGCCTCTTCCCTTCGCCATCAATCTGGTCTCTTTCTCTCTCCTCCATTTTCTCAAATTAGTTGCAGAAATCATGTAATTTGAATTGATTAGTATTTTGTTGATTAGAGAAAGCGAAGAAGGAAGCGACGAAAGCAGGTGTTCGAGTATCAGAGCTTTTGGTTGATGCTGTTAATGGCGGAGTTCAAGAATCGTTCCTCCATCAAAAGCAAATCGAGCTCGAAATTCGAGCTTTAACTACTACGGTTAATCGTTTTCAGAAGCAGACTCATCAATGGCTTGCTGCTTCTCGATCTCTTAATACTGCAATTAAGGTCTGATTATTCTTCAAATTATAACCTTAAATTAAAATATTATTTCTTACTTTGGTTGATTTTGTTGTGTATGTAGGAAATTGGTGACTTTGAGAATTGGATTAAGGTGATGGAATATGATTGTAAAAGTATTGCCACTGCTATTCGCAACATTCATCAAGCTTGAAGGCTTTGACTTTGATTTATTCTTTTTGTAATTATTAATCCGTCAAGCGGTTGGATTTTTAAGTTACGAGTAGGTTTTGTATACAACAGATGTATTGTATACAACCGAGTATAAGAGTGTTCATTGAATGTGTATTGCATTGGATAATATTAACTATAAATGCAACTTAAGGTTTGTTTTGGACATATTTAGGACATATTTAGATAATACAGTAACAATATTACATTGGTAATTTCAGCCAACAATTCCAAAATACTACGTACATTGTAACTTTGGTATTAGGAGTACATGCTTACGAATTATTTGATTGCTAAAAGTTCACAGCGATCATCTTCGAAGTAAATTTCGTACACGATTAGTATAGTAACAAAGAGTACAGAGTGATTAAAGATCATATTCAGCCTTAAGGCTTAGTTGGTTTTCCAGCAATTGGTTCTTATCTCTCCCCTTGTGCCGGTCAGGGGACTCAGGTTTCCCATTTTTACCATAGCCCGTGCAAAATCCCTATTAAAGGAAGATGGATCTTTGGTATAAGTAGTGACCTGCGAATCGGTGGATCCGTTGTTGAACAGTTGTTGATCCGAGTGCATCAGACCTTTGTTGTTCACCAGATCTTTGAAATACCCATTGTCAAACTCGACAGGAGTACTAGAATCGAGTGGAGTAAGATTGTTGTCTCCCCCGGTGTTTGGGCAGTTGGATTTCACTGAACTAACAAATGATGCATCAACGTTACTCTCGTTGTAAACTCTATTACGGAATACTACACACCTGGCTTGCCCTATAGTATGTGCTCCTGCAAGATGATACAATTTTCATTTTCCATTCAGATACAAAGCTACTATAGTGCGTCTCATGGTCAGTGTTGAGCGCCTAACATACATTTAATCACTAAATAATCACAATACTCTCCTCAATTCGCTTTAAGGAAAGCCAGGAGGATCACTCACCTGCTAGAGCCACCATTTCTTTGGCTGTCAATCCTTTCTTTGAAAAGGAAGATAGAAGGCCACTAAGGTCCATATTTGGGGATGGAATGTCAGCATTTGCAGTGCTTAAACTTGCTGCAGTAGAGTCTCGCCTGCCCAGCAGTACGTTCCAAGTTGGACCACCCAACTGCAGATGATAAAACACAAAAGGTTCAGTCTGATGACAAAAGCTAGCTGATATAAAGCTTTTAGTTTCTGTGTGCATTGAAATAAAGCATTATGTTTAACACAGCCTCGTATCTTAGTTCATGAAATTTGTGCCGAGAATAATGTGTAAGCAAAGCAAATTCCTGGCTGCACCTTATGCAAAATATTTGTAAGTTTTACTTACTACAACAACTGAATCCCTTGCAGCTACAGCTAGAATATCAGCGCAAGAAACTACACCAGGGCAAACACTCTCAACTTGAGACTTAATACTGTCAATCGCAGTAAATCCCCTCAGAGATCCTGCATTGGCACCTGCAGTTTGCTCCCCTGTGAACGTTGAGGTATCATTTAGAAGAACAGATGCATCACATCCCTGCACAAGCATAAAGCATATTAAAATAAGTCAGTTATCAGCTATTAATACACTTTCATGCACATTTGTAAGGCCTTTTAGGCACAGAAAAAGGGAGTGTCAACATGCATTAACAAAGCAGTCATGGAAGTGAAGACGAAGCAAAGATGCCCCCATACGATGCTCTGCAGCTACTGCTTTATGCACTGCAGATTTGATTGTGAAGAGAGCTTTTGGGCATGTCTTCGCATAATAATTGGATGAAAGCTGTGCTTGGACAGTCCCTAATAGAAACAAACTCAGCAAGATTCTAAGCGTTGTCATATTAATAGAAGTAACCATTGCAATCAAAGAGAGGAGAGAGCAACGTATAGAACTTGTTTCTCTGGTATAAGATATCCTCAAGTCCGGCTTCCTACTTATAGGATTACTTGGTTCCACAGATTTTTTTTGTTTTTTATTCACCTTTCACTCAATATTCGTGGTCAATAAATACAGAGTTCAGCACAAAACCGGCGAGGACGAAAAGTTGGATTACACTATTATTTTTTTTTAAGAAATGCTCAGTGTTTGACATTATGGCTAAGATTAGACACTTTAGATTACAGTATTAATTCTATTGAGAAATGCCGAGTGTTTGACATTATGGGTAGATTAGACACTTAGTGGTGTGTGAACGTTGTTGGAGTGGGGAATCTGGTTAAGTTTGTCAACTTTGGCATAGGTCAGAACCTCAGAGCTCCTTTTTGCAAATCCCCCTAACTTCAGAATATTCTCTATATCTTTACCAAGGACCGTCTGCCGTGGGAGTTCTATGGTGAATTAAGTTCCTTCCCAAAACAGCTAGCCCTCTTTTCATTATTGTGCACAGAGAACATGAGATCTTCATTTAAAAGACCATTTGAGTAAAACTAATCAATTTATAGCTTTGTTTAGAGCGCAACAGAGATGTATTGCACGGTTGTCAGAGTCCTACAGCACTGAAAAGGCACAGCAGATCACATGTTCATCAAGAGAAGCTCAGAAATCTACCAAAAACATCCATACGAACCTTTACAAAATTTAATGACAAGTATATTATAAGAATTGGCTCTATGGACTATGGCAAAGCATTGAAAAAAGACTTCCTCCCAACCTAAATAATTTTGTTAAAATGCATGATGTAGATTTACCTTTCATTTACTGTGTGTGTAACTGAAGATCATAGGTGTAATCAGAAACAAAAATTTCTCATTAACCAAAGGTGATTCCATCAATAGCAAAAAATATTTACCATACAAAAAATACTAGGAAGCTTCAAAATGCTCCCCACCACCAAGAGTAGAGGAAAAAAAACAGAGAGAGATACAAACTTAGGTATCCAACTCTTTTGAGATATACGCCGTAATAGAAACATAAAACAAAGCAAAATCAAACTATTTTGTTGATAAACCTATACGAGTATTCACTAATAGACATTCCTCATTCCTCTGCACTAAACTATAACGCAACTTTTCGTCTTCAAAAGACAAATTCCTCAGCTTCAGCACTAGAACTAGGTAGTCTGTCATCCATCTCTCTCAGAGAAGCTGCTGCAGAGTCACTGATTCCTAGCAAATACTGTAGACGCGAGATCTTCTCAGGTGCTGCGTCGCTCTTGGCATAAATAGCAAAAAGATCTGCTAGTTCCTCTGGCACTTCCCATGATAAGGGCTCAGCTGTCACAGCCTTGTCACAAGCTAGCAGATCATTAAGAGTGGAGACCTGCAAAATTGAGAGGCAAAATATCAGACTAAAAGAACCCACACATAAAAGACAACAAACAAAATGAAAGTGTGCAGCTGTCATCAGAAGCATACCACCCCACTGCGGTTTCTCTGCCTTAGTAAAGCTACTGCTTGAACCAATGAGTTAGCTAATCTACTACGAGCAAGTTCGTGGACAACTCCTTTAGCCTTCTCTGGGTTAATTTTCAAGTCGGCAGGAATCTTTTCGTAGACTTCCTCATCATCAAATTCTCCAGTACCAGAAGAAAATATCTCATCCACAGACTTCTTGAAGAGATTCTCCCGTAAGCTCACCGCTATCATGTTGTCAATATTTACACCAGCTTCCTTGAGTTCTCTAATTTGTTTTATGCTTAGCCTTCCTTGGCCAATAGCTGTTTCTATGGCAGAGGCCATTTTTGAATTTATAATGTTCTCCCTCACCTTTTGAGCATACTCTGGTGGCAAGCCAACTTGCTTCTGAACCTCATCCAGTTGCTCCATCCTAGCCTTAGTCAACTGTCCATCAGCCAGAATGACCTCTGCTTGTTGTCTAAAAGCTTGCTCGGCCATACCTCTATGAACCTCTACGATCTCCTTACGTGTAAGACCAAGAATATCACCAAGCTGATTCAGATAGAGGTATTCTGTGTTGTCCTTCTTCGTGGTGATTTGTGCACCAAATGGAATTTTGGTTACTTCACCAGTTATGCAGTACAACAAGTATGTCTTGTACAGGTCAGCCCTCTCCCTCTCTGGAAGGTCATCTTTAACAGTAATCTCTGTCTGCCCAGGTTTCCCAATTTTGGCCTCAAGTTCCTTAGTAGGTCTTGATTTTCTTAATGTCTGGAGTGATTCCCATTCTTCCTCATCTTCAATCTTCTCCTCTTCCTCTTTAACAGGTTCTTCTGTCGGAACATCAGTTGATTCCCCTTTAATATCAGCAACTAATTCAGTGACCACCAAGGTGTTGAATGCGATCATCTTCTTAAGTATTTTTGCAGATTCAGTGCGACTTCCAGCTGCCCTGGCCTGTTTAATATAGTTAATGAATATTCTGCGGACCTGCATGACATAAGATAAGGAAATATGAATTAGTGAACCATCAGGTTTCATGATCTCTCCTGCATAACTTAAGTTAGGTGGGGATCCCAGAATGAAGGCCTATCTAGGTTGAGATTGTCTTTAATAAATCAATAAATGATAAAAATGATTCAGCAGGGGAAGAGGACACTCACCGCCTTACTAGCAATTGACATTGCAGCTTCCCTAGTCAAGCGCAAACCATGTGCGGCTTTCCTCACATTTTCTTTTACATCTGCATCATATCCGTCAACACCGGAAGCAATTGCATCCTTCACAACCTGAAATCAAGAGAACACTTCAACTTGACGCAATGTGTAACCAATACCAACAACACAAGTAGAACAGGACAAAAATGCATTTTGCTGGCCGCAAACCACACAATCACTAAAACAGTAACGCCAGTAACCAAAAGAAACTTCTCAAATTTCAAATAGTAATATTTCAAAAGCTTAAGAACCCAAACAGACATGAATTATCAACCTCCATAAAGCATCTATACATCAGCCAGAGGAGGTGGGCAATTGACCAAATATACAAATATAACATCTCTCCGTGAGGAGGGAGGGGAAGGGGGTAGTTGAAAGGAGGCTCAGCAAATATCACACAGTTACAAGTTAGCCAATGCTCAAATTTCTATGCTTCATCAACAAGGTTTTCATCAGAACAGTACAATCTAATAAAATACAAATACACAAATACAACAATGCAATATAGCATATAATCAAAGTGGGGGATAGGAAAAACAGATGAGATCCAAAGAGGAAGAGGGGGAAGACTTCAAATTCTTACCTTCTCAAACAAACTGCCACAAATATCAGCATGAGCAGCTTCAACAATTTTTTGGGGAACACACAGCATGACCCGTACGCGTAGTAAAGCTTTGACATCCTCCTCACTCAACTCTCCATCAGCTAAGCATTGCTGTAGCTTCTGTCGATATATTTCTATAAGAAAAGACAAATAACAAACAGTACACAAGAGCAGGTAAGCGAGCTATAGATTCACAGAGGAACAAAAATATATAATGCAGATCCAAATGCTGACAAAGTTTAAGCAACCTTAACCCCATTCAGTTATACACAAGAATTTCCCAAAATCAAATAACAACACAAAATACAAAAGGTGCATTCTCTTGTCGCTTTGTCCGTCTAGAAAGTAAATCAACAACTACGCAAAATGATTCAACCTAAAAAATTCTCACTTAATTGCTCCTTCAGACTAAAAAGTAAAAACCCTGCAGGGAGAAAATTTACTCATTCGGCAACAAGCACCATAATCTGTCAACCAAGTAGAAGGGAACAGTACCTGCATGGATCTCACTCGCCTTCTCAGGGTCAAACCGCAGTTGGTCACACATATTCTGAAGGTAATTCGCTTTGCTTTCAGCTGCATCCAAATTACCACTAGAAAACGCTTGAGACAGTAGCTTGCGATAAACCTTCGAGGTCACATCCATCATAATACTTTCTGCTTCACGTTTTCCAAGACCAAATATGTTCTTTAACTGGTTCAATGCAGCAAGCTACAAATGGAAAAGAGAATATAAGTGAAGGCTAGCATATAATATTATTGTAGCTAAACCGCATAAGACCTATGGAAGGTACAGTAATTTATCTTCGCTACTTCGCTAGAATATGTCATTGACAACAGTAGATTTGAAAATAAAATGGAATAGGAAGAGTGAAAATATGTTTCCAGAACAGAGAAGATACAGGCTCATAAAAGGAAGTTAGCAAAGTTAGAACAAAGGGAGCATTTGAAAAATCTGTCAATTGCACCTTTCTCCAGACCTATAGGAAATGATATGGCAGATGAATAGAAAAGGAAAGGTTTGAATGGCACGATCACTTCATCACTTTGAATGAATTTAATGGTATTTTTATAGTTCTTGGTACATGAGGATGTGTTTTCAAGTGCTCCACAATTCTACAATCATATTTCCATTGAGGCCAAACCTAAGCATGTCCTCAAGAGATAGTTGTCCATAATACTCTGTCTCGAGCAACAAAGAAAATATATATATAATCACTGGCTCACAAACTAATCATATCATAGATTCATAGACTCGTAATAATGTATGTGTCTCAACGTCGAGAATGAATCACCCCAGCCAAAAAGGCAGAACAGCTATAAATGTTCACCTTCAACTTTAAGTAGAGGCCACCAGAAGGCCAATGGCTTAAAGAGTTACAGAGAATCACTAATAATTTTAAATTAAAAAAAATAATTATAATAATAATAATAAATTATCACCTTGCTGTCTTCCATGCGGCCACTTGATAAAGAATCAGTAATATATGCTTTGTAGAGAAGCTTCAAGTCATCAATCCTCCTGTCACTGTCAAACTCACCATCTGACAAATTATACAGAATGCTGTATTATACTAGTGTACCAGTTATCTCATGAACAGAAAAATTCTTACAAACACAAGAACCACCACAAAAAAGGACATCAGTATTATTACCTACTAAGGAAATTGGTCCGATGCCTCGGGCAAAATTACCAGCATCCGGATGGTTTCTTAATGAGACAAGCTTATCATTAAAAGCAAGCACTCTATTCAGCTCATTTACAACCTCAATAGCTCCCCTGTCAAACATAGGTGTCAAAGAGAGATATGCGTGAAAAAATGGCAAACAACTGATTTTTCCCCAAAACTAAAAACAATAAAA